TCTCATTTGCGCTAAAGGGCAGTGTTTACAACGCACCTGTTAGTTCAGTATTGTCGCATGGGAGCTAGTCCTGGCCAATTCGCGTGAAAGACATGTATCGTCTTTCTGCCTTCGACAACAGTTGCTTAAGGAGAATCACTCGTATACGGTGGCAATATCGTGTTCGCAGTGATGGCGTTCGACTTCGCATCTTGGGTAATGCGAGTATTCCCGTGAAGATCAACCACTGTCAGCTGCATAGTAAATAACCTGCATGGCAGTGGAGAATGGGTCGGGCTATATAGGAGTTAGGTTTCAATTCGCAATAGTCGGCTGTCGTTCCTCATGGCTCAGTGGCATAAGCTGCTTGCTAGTTGGCATTAGTCTAGCGGTCATGGGTTCGATCCCCAGTAGGGGACCGGTGGATGCGCACTACTGACGAGCCCCAGTAGGGCGAAACGCGCTTCTGGTGTGTTTTCGAATTGGTAGCTTACCTATGCGACTTGGAATCTAATTGCGATGAACCAAACCGAATCATATCCAAATCCGTCTACTCATTGGTAATTAAAAATGTTTTGTTCCATTTTTGTCAGAGGTTTCTTGTTTCCTGCGACACAACGGCTGAAGTGTGTTGTTTACCTTCAACTATGTTTCACGATGATTATGATGCGGCGACTCTTCCCCTTATCTGCTAATCTCCATGGTTTTTGCTAGGCTCTATATCTATTTACTAGACTGTTTCGATTACTACTGCTACTACCACTTGTGCTTCGGACACGTGATCTTACGGCAGCGTCACGTGCCTTTTAACAGCGTCTCAGGATACGAACCATCTTAGCAGCCTCCCGACCCCTATTTCTACGATACTCTCCGTTGTCCCCAGTGTGATGGATATCAGCTACACACACCCCCAGCTATTGTGACGCAATACAAATCAAGTATATGATAGTACGAAGGCATGAGAATGGAAAGAACAACGACAAAAGCTGTCTTCGCAGCTTAGCTCATGTCTGGTGTGAGCACCGCTTGAGTGATGAACGTGTCGACTTCGTGTGATGAGCGCAGAAAGTGAGTGAACCGATAAACACCGTTATCTTACACATCAGGCGCCGATGGTTGGGCTACTTGTTGCACACGCCAGCACACCGATTCCCGCTTCATGCCTTTGCGCGACCAATGTGTGAATGGAAGAGGAGGAAGGGAAACCAAGCGATGACTTGGTCAAGAGGAATGAAGGCCCACGCTTCGAAGTTGGCATCGGTTGGTGCATCCCGGCTGCCGGGCTGGGGTCCCAAGGACGACGAGTACGTTTGGTTGGACACACTTGCTGATATGGCGATGAACCGGTCCCAATGGCTCTTTTGTTGTGAATTTGTCCATCGCCCTCCCCCCTCCATTTACGATATTATATTAAATGCAGAAGATGATACATAACATAATATTACGCTTTTTACCTTTTGTAGCTTGCATTGTTTCCTGTCTCATCTTTTTGTATTACGGCACATTAGCTGACGTTTGTTGCTCGCCATCATGAAATGTCTATTGATGATGATGATGATGATGATGATGATGATGATGATGATGATGATGATGATGATGATGATGATGATGATGATGATGCGTCGTAACCGCGATTGTGGTCGAAGAGGCTACCAAGCGGCAGGAAGACAAACAATAACTAACATCGCAAGCGGCACTGAGGTCGGCTCTACACCATGTCAACAATTGTATCCAGCCCGACATGTTCGTCGTCTTTCGAATCTTAACCAGAATCGAGAGGCCCTAACCGAGGCCAATTTCAAAGTGAGATTCTTCATTCCTCTTCACCAAGTCATCGGTTGAGCTCTTCTTCTGCCATTTAGACCCCGGTCGCAGAAACAACGCACATTATGGAACTCGGTGTGTTGGAATGCGTAACACATGGAGCCTGGTGCTGAGCGCTTCACTTCCTTTTCTTGTGCTATAAACAAGATGCTAAACGCGCCCATTGCTCATGTCATGTTCCAACCAGATGTGAGCTCAGTTGCAGAGACACCGGTGGTCGAACGTGACAAGCCTATTTAGGTCTGTCTATCTGATAGGCCAGGTTTCACAGCCGTATCGGTGGGTTGAACGGACAGCTGCATTGTAAACTCTACTCTTCTGAGTGGGAGTGATGTTGCGTCGGCACTACGGGTGCGAAGATTAGCAAAAGTGCCTCGAACTTTTGCCGTAAGGTTCATGGCCTCACCGGTGGCCGAGTGGTCTACGCGTTTGGTTTGCAACCATAAGGTCACCGGTTCGAATCCGCGTAGGGGTGGGCGTCCTCTTGGTATACTCAGCCCACGCGCGACTGGTGGTGGTCGCGCGGCATCGAAGCGCCGTTACGGCGTACAGCTGATACATTGTTGTTGTGGCCTCACCAATTATTCCATAGGCTCCATTCTAGCTGCCTAGATACTTGACTTTCTAGACGACTTCTAGCTGATCACCGCCAAGAGTCAGCGCATGAGTCCCTGTCAGTCTTGGAGAAGGACTTTGCATTTGAAAGCTGGCCCCTAAGATCGGCAGAAATGAAGAGGCTAGTTACGTTCGACCACCGGTGCTTTCGCAGTTTGACTCATATCTGGTGGGAACACTGCGTGAGTAACGAGCATGTTCGACGCCTTGTTTACGGCACAGAAAAAGGAACTGAACCGCTCAGCACCGTCGTTTCACGCACCAGGCTCCGATGGCTGGGTTACGTGTTGCGCATGCCAACCCATCGACTTCCACGACGTGCGTTGTTTCTCACCGGTGATGTGAATGGAAGAAGAGGAGGGGTGGCCAAGTGATGACTTGGTCAAGAGGAATGAAGGCCCTCACTTCTGAGCTGGCCTCGGTTGGAGCGTCTCGGCTCCCTGGTTGGGGTCCAAAAGCCGGTGAACACGTTTGGCTTGATACCATTGCTGACATGGCAAGAAGCCGACCTCAGTTGCGTTCCTGTTGTGAGTTTCTTTGTCCCTCCCCATCCCTTTTAGCCTGCCCCTCCTTCTACAATCTCATTTCGTAGTGTAAATCAATAATTTTTTTCTTTTTACCTACTAGCCGGCTGGTAGCTTACCGGAACGATGCCTATCCGTTGCTGGTAGCCCAGCTAGCATGCAACTGTTGTATTTATTTTCCTTTTCCTTTATGTATTGCGGCACAGTAACTGAGGTGTTTCCCACCTCTAGCTGACGTGTATAATGGTGAATGATGATGGAAGCTGTAAAGGATAGCCCGAAATGACTCTTAATCAATGTTAAGTTGTCCAGTGCTGCTTGCCATTTTTGTAGCTGTCGCATATAAAGGCAGTGTCTTCGGATACTCTAAGTCAAGAAGTCGCTGACCTAGCAGCATCTCCACACCTAACTCACGTCCAGTGAGCGCAATTTCCGAAAAATTAAAAGGAAATACCAACTCAGCACTGCTGCCCAATGTTAGCACCCCAGAAATGATTCAAATTTCTGGAGATACAGGCATGCGGGTAACCGCCTAACTTCTTCAGAAACTCGTTTCGACACGAGGTTTTTGTTTATTTCGTAACTCGCGAGAAATGGGAACGTCCTATTACAACTACACCCAGCGTCGGCTTTTTCCAACTGGCGCAACGAGCGCCTGTGCAATATTTGGCGCTCTTTGGTAACTGGTTAGCAATGAACTCAACTGTCTGTGTCTTTACAAGCTTCAACTGGTCTGATTCCTTCCTTCATTACAACGCATTTGGGAGCATTTGTGGGAATTTCGACCACACCTTAGCCTCCGCACTTAGCTTCCTTGACCGTTTCTGAGAGAAATGTAAAGTGATTCCTTCGATTGCCTCAGTTCTCGGCTGGGTATGTTGTATGACTGCTGGGGTTAGCTGATGTTGTGTACGAAGGTGGACTATTTTCACTAATTCATAACAGCGAGAGCAGATGTAGATTTTCTTTGATCCTTAAGGCTTTCCATACGAGGCCCAATGAGGATCGTTCTCATCGACGGAAGTGAAACGTATCCCCTTCTCTTACTATCTCAGTTCGTTTAGGTCTTCCACCTCTGCTGCTTACAAAACACTGCTGATATTGGGTGGCAGTAGTGTGCATCCACGAGGCATGCAGGTGCTCATTAATCGATGCTGACCACTATTTCTCTAAACCATTAACCATGCCATGTGCAACGTATGTCTACCCATCGCTTACCGAGGATGGACTTTTTCGTTTGCTATATCTAGGATGGTTTATTGGTTGGTTTTGGAAGGTAGTCCTTGGGTTCGTTGCGAGAAAAGGAGGCGCGGAAGATAAAGCTAGGTGCCACTGCTCTATCTCATCATTTTGGCTGAGGCCCGCGCAACTCACCTTGTGCTTGGCTTCAGACTCGAAGAATGATGTTTCGCCGCCGTCGCCAGTGGCAATCTTACTGTAGTTTCCTAATGGCGCCACTTTTTGATGGGTTCTGAGACTGAGTTGCCAGGGAAGAATGCGTATGACAGGGAGGCCGTCCCCTGTGCTACCTTAGCTTCGCATGGTAGCCGATTGTTTGTGACCATTCGGTGTTCGCAAGGTGCAGGCGTTTTGATACCGAATATTTTTAGTGCATTACAGTTTCACACTGAGCACCCCTTCTTCACTAGTAAGATCATTCTAATAGTATGGCAACGGTAATGGTTGCATAATCTCCGGACTTGGGAGCACCCTTCAAGCAGTGCTAAATGCGTTGTTGCTGTTTAATGGTCGCTCGTCATGTGTACAATAATTTTATCCTTTATGGTTGGTCCATGTTTCATTTAATTGAGCTCATAGACCTCGCTTTCATTTTCCTTTTGATTTCCACTGAGTGCGAAAACGATTGATTACACTTCATCTCTTGTGTCACAGTCCAAACCCGTCTCATCTATATCAAAGAAATATAAATGTATATACAATCACCTTTTAAATTTCGGTACTTCATGTTACACGCTCACCTTCGTCGCCATCTTTTTCCCAACCATCCTGAAGCCTTTTCTTTTTCTACTACTGCAAAGTTTTCTTGATTGCTTACAGCCATGGAACCTGGTATTTCTGCCGAGGAATTTCAGCGTTATCAGTTGCAACTGCTGGATTTGCGTGAGGCTCAACTTGAAGCCAGGGAATATCGACTTCGGACGGAGTTACGTATCAAACATTTGGAGGAGGAATTGCTCGCTGCACGTAGACAGACCGAGTCCTTCCAGTCCGGTGCCAGTCGACTGGAGGAGGTGCAAAAAGAGAACAACGGGTTGCGGGAAAAATTGCGTAACACCGAGTCTTCTTTTCAGCTGCAATCGTCCACTCTGCGCGCCGAGTGTCATCGCTTGTCTGCGGAATTAAATCGGTTGCACTTACTGTTGAACAAGCCAAGTTGTTGCCAGAGCTGTCAAACGGTGCCTTGCCCAACAATCGAATCCCCCGTGCAAACCGATGAGCCACTTGATGCAGTGCAGCTGGAACCGACTAGTTCAGAGGAAGTGGCTGAACTGCGAGTTGCCTTGGATACTGCCCGTGTAACCCAGTCATTCTCGGATGTTGCCATTTCCACACTGGAAACCAGATTAACTGCACTGGAGAAAATGGTGTATTCTGAGTTGATTAAGCTGCAGGAACGGATTTCACAATTGGCCCACGAGCGTGATGCATTGAGCTTGCGCACAAAGCATTATGAACAGTCCTTGCGCTCCGCACGAGAGACCGAGTCTGATTTGCGCGGCCAATTGGAGGTGGTGAAACATCGTAGCGATAAGCTAAATCAGGAATTGCGGCGGCATTTATCACGTCTAATTCGAACACAGCCGAACGACACAGAACAACTCTCTCTGTGCAAATCTTCCACTTACTCTTCATCATCCTCTCTATCGAGCAATCTCGTAGCTGGACTAAATGCTACTGCAGTTAACGGTGAAGTCTCTTCCGTGTCCGCATCTTCTCTACCGGGTCCTACTGTGGATCGAAAGATAGGTGATATCCCGTCTGGATATTTTCCTATGGCAGATTTTAAAGTAAGTCACCCGAATTTCATCCACATACAAATTTTTCTGCTTTCTCACGGTATCTGTAAAGAAGCCATTTTCAAAGCTCTATGTGTGGTTGTTTTCTTCCACGACGCCAGACATCTCTCTGTTGAGTTGTTATTCCTTTATTTTTTCAATGCGATCCTGTGCTGTTATCGTACCAATAGCGATTCTGGACATTGGGTCAGTTTGCTAACCTACTTCCCCTTCATCTGCGCTGCTGCTGTGCTTCTTTTATCTAGCACTCATCCCATAGGTGCGGGAAACCTAGCGGTATACCCAACTCACACTCGACTAATAGTGGCCGCGTAACAGTGGAACATCGTTGCGGTGTGCCGGTGTAATGCTAGTGCCTTTCGCTTTTGTTCTCTTTAGCTGGCATTGTTGTAAGCCACCTGCACGTTGGCCAAGGAGGATTCTCTATGTCGCAAACGCTAACTGTGGTCTTGGGGGGGGGGGGATGCTCTGCCGCGCGGTGCTGTGTCCATTTGGAACTGTCTCAAAATACTGCATCTGTTTCTCCTGCCACTCCATCACACATGCTGGAAACCCGTGGTTGTGTGCCATCTGAATGGGGTTTGTACTTGATGATGTCCGTTGTCACACTTTGTGCAGCACAATCCCCATTGATTGCATGAGGTGTGGTTATCGAACAATATGTTCTCTACTATGACTGTGCATTGGCTAGACAGATAGATGGGATTGGTGCAAAATAAACGACGCTGTCGCTGCTGATGCCGCTCAGAGCGATTCCAGAGTGATAACTTACGCTGCCCATTACCAGGTGTAACAATGAGCAAAACAGTGACAGCGGTGCATCAGTGCAAAGTGCTGATGCTTTACTACTATGCTATTATTCTAACATTACTAGTGGAGAATAAATGCCATAGGTAACCAACCAGAATCAAGGCGCCTGCGCCTTGCCAACAGCTTATGGTCACGCACAACTGTATACTATGTGGAGGTTGCAGCTTCCATCGTCAATTTCACAAGTAATAGTATTCCATGGCAAATTTGTTCCCACAATATATCCACACAGCTAGTTCGACCAGAAAGCTACAGACAACGGGCCACTGGTGCCGGGCGCGAGTCACGTTATGTAGTATGTGCACAACGTCGACCCAACTGGAAGATGAAGCGATCGAACAGCGCCTAGTTTCGTCTCCCGTGCCTTCACTTCCCTCAGCTATGTCATCTGTTAACCCCTTGATCCGTACACCATTTTAGCTTTCGTGAACAGTGTCGTCAGTAAGCAGCGATTGGACGTACCTGGCACCTCAAACCAACCAGACCTGTTTTACGAACTAACTTAGTCAGACTCGCCTGGTCCTCGCCTGCACACCTCATAGTTTCGAACAACCTGATGCCACTGGACACTGATACCGCTTCGCAAGCAACGTCGGTCAGATCATTGAGGACGTTTATGATCATCAGAAAGAGTAAGCACGTCGTACCCAGTCGTTCAGCAGACTCATCAATTCATGTCTATCCCATTCAATACTTGGACTAGTTTAGCACTTATACACTTGTCGATGTTAAGCTACTGCCAAGATAAGTGACTTGATCAACTTTCTCCATTTCCGCTTCGTAAGCGATCCCAGTATTGACAAGTGGCTCGTGACCCCGTGTGAACACTGAACTTTGAAGGTGAAATGCACATGCTAACAGGAGAGACTGCTTCAGGTTCTGTCTGGGTTTGATTGTGATGCCTCTGTTATCCAACAACAAAACAATATCACCCGTAAACTCCAGATAAACTAGGTTTTCTCCGTACAGCACCTCGATGTTTTCATCCTGATATTCCACAACAGGACATTCCATTATGAAGTTTGCGCTAAAGTTACTGGTTATTGGTAACTTGAACAACCCTGACGGGTGGCAATTGTTGTCCCAGTGGCGTCCGACGTTTGGTTCCAGACCCTGGTGAGACCTGTTGTGTTCGCACAAAGACAGTGTAAAGTCTACATATCTGACGGAAACACCTTTCTGATCAACTATATTGGTGCATACGATGCACTGCGACTTTGCAATCAGAGAACACATCTGTAGTCAGTCTGCGGTATGTGTGGCACTATTCCAGCACCTTTCTCCGATTGAAGATATGGAATATACAGCCCTCAGCCAATTGGGAATCTGATTACTCTTCTCTCATCCGACATTCACTTTCTGCGTCGTACCATCGGATGAGGGTTGGAGACCAGAAACATGATCAGCACCGACGATGCAACTGCGCCTCTTGAATATAAGCACTGTGATCAAGTGCCCGCAATTAGTTACGCTGATTTCTTCCATTCATGTTTCTCTGAACTGGTGTTTTAGTTTGCAGTAACTCGAAATACCGGCAGTGCAAGTTGTCTTGGTGTTTATTAGGTCACAGATCGGAGCAATCGGGTTACAGGCGTTTCACCAGTAATCCGTCTCCGGATTGTTTTAGTCAGTATTCGCTACCAAACAACTTAGAGACATTCAAGGTGTAAAGTCATTGGTGAGTCGGAAACTGTCAAAGTTCATCTGACGCCGGCCAGCATCCCACCTAAATGAATGTTGCCACCAACCCCCTTGAGACAAAGCGAGATTAGCGGCGGACTCGATCTGTTAACACAGACCGACACGTGGTCTCACACTAGATCACGCTTCACTTTGAACCTCGGTGGGATAGTTGTTTACAGAGGACCCCACATCCCTAAACAACAATGGCACGGGGAATTCCGGACCAACATTCTTGAACCGCCCGATGGATGCGATCGCGTTTCAGAACTACTGGATTTCATTTGGAACCTCTATGCTAACTAGGGACGGGGCAAGCGACACCATCTGAACATGAAGCAATTTAGAAGCAGGAGACCAACTAGACCGCTTCTGAAAGTGTTCCGTCTGCTTCATATGCAGAGCATGATCAGAATCGCTGCACGTTTTCTAGGATGAAATCACGCCACTTAGTACCAGGTGGCATTTGGTGTACTCGCTGTGTGCTTGGTTGCGACTCGCAATCTCTATTCACAACTCGGTCCTCATTGAAGTAGACCTCGCTTATTACGATCACAAGGACCGTAACCGAATTGGTGGTTAGGTGTTGCTCCTCCCAACCCTGACACCCATATGGGGTGGTCCGACGTTAACTAGTTTCCGAAGAACACCAAGGACATATCGACACCCGTTGAATCGAGACTGTCATTTAGGAACAATCGAAGATTGGAGTTCTATTGCAATAAAAGCTCACCAGTGTCCTTGCTCTCCGAATCAAACTCTATTTTTCCGCCTCACTAAGCTTCTTCAAAACTAACGCGACTTACTTGCGCATTCCTATGTCCAACAACTCTGACTGTCTCTGCTATGCCAGTACTTCTGAGTATCGCGCCGAGTTCGTAGTAGGTGCTTTTCGTAATATCAGCAATGCAGTCACTTGGAGCGTATGCACCAACCACAAACAGATGATGTCGGCTACTACTCCTTGCACTAATTGCTTTGCGTTATTAAACGAGGTGCGCTCAAGCGGCAGTTCAGCGAAGTGCAATCGATCATCGAAGATTCAGCCCAGGTGAGCACAATATCTGCTCCAACTTGGCCTGTGCCTAATGCATCGGTATCTTCGGGTACCTACAACCAGCAGCCCAAAAGGCGCATTTAATTCGGTACCAATATGTGAACCGTTAGTTCTGTTTGCAAAGGTGCCGCAGCCCACATTTCACCGAGAGTATGCAGTGCGTGGGCCAAATCGGCTCTTTGAACCATCTCTCGTGGGGTACGAGCGTTGAATGCCGTCCTAGAAACTGAGCAGCGTCACATGCTATAAAGGTTTCCAATGACCGTGGGGCTATTGACTTTATGATGACACGGATAACAGATTTTCACTAGAACGGTAGATGTGTTCACTGATAGCTCCAGAAAGGATAGGAAAATGTATTGGGAGGATATAGCAGAAGCAATGAGGGAGCGTTAACATTATTGTTCTTACGGATTTATCCTTTTTAAATCGTATCTTTTACTGTTACAGAATTAGGCTGAGGGTTAGGAAGTTGGCTGTGATTGTGCAAGAGTCGCTACATTGTTTTAGTACCCAAACCTAGACAAGGGGGAATTAGCACCCCAATCAAAATTCTTACATCCTAAATCCTTATCGCAAAGCAGTGGGATGAGAAATCGGTTCATGGGATGGGCTACCTTCACGTTGATATTCTAGGCCAACTTACAGGGTCAAGAGATTGAGTTTGTCCCAATTCCGCTTTTCAAGGTGCCCGACGTGACTACCGATCAACCGATCATGTCGGCGCTTGAACCGTCTCACAACATGTGAGACCAGTGTCTCGTCATGGCGATCTTACCGGGTGCACTGTCTTCCCCCGTAATTTAGCGTCAGTCGTCCTGGTTGTGTCTTGAAGAGCATAATGTCATCCGGCCATTCTCAGTCGATGGTGTCCTGTTTCTTTTTGACATCCGTCCTCGATTTCATTTTCGGACTTTCCGTCATCTCATCCTGATACTCTTATTCACAACGCAACTCGCGCATCCACCGTATTTCAACTTTATCAGTTTTGCTAACCGTCATGCTCATTTGTAATCGACACTCGCTTGGTAAAGCCTGAGAAATGTGCCTTTCTCGAAATTAATCCATTGGCAACACCGGGAATTAGGGACTGGTACTAAGTACGAAGCAAAACATTAAGCAACACGCTAGCACTTCATAATTGTGCGGTCCCAGCAAAATTAGCGGAAACCCGCAACCCGTTCCAAGCTGTCAAGAAAGAAGGCTTTAAAATCACACATGTATACCTATCGGCGCTTTTCTACGTGACATTTTCATGAGATGAAGCAATGGAAACAGCCACCAGTCCGAAAGGTAAGAATGAATTACACGCATTGTCCGCGTTCACCACGCTCAAACTGTGTTAAAGGTCGCTTGAAGTACGACAGGCATGAGCTACATTCACCTCAATGTTCCTTGTAGCAGAATGGTTGATAGAAATGGTAGGGACGGACATTCTACTGAGCGGAGTTCTCAGTGTAGACCATAGAACAAGGTTTAAGCTTTGGATATAAGGCGAAGGGTTTCGTAATCGTGACCTTAATCTCGCAATGCTGGCTATTCTTTTATCACATCATATACTTGCTTGCTACGAGGCTGCAACTCAATAGTTTCTTTCTCATCCGGGTTGCTCCTACCTGCAAGCACCTTTCCCTCGCATTTCACCGTCATGTGGTTATTTCAAAACAGACTACTTATTTAATTGCAGTAACATGAATTTAACCGTTTAATTTTATTTTGCTTCAGGCTGTTGTCGATAGAATGTCCGAGGTGCAGGACGAAAACTGCATGCTTCGCCTCAAAGTTGATCGTCTCCAGGTTGAATTAACCAGCAAAAGTAAAGCGTTATACACGGAGTTGGAGAGGCGTCTGCATGATCCTGCGCCTCCGAATCATGTATCCGAATTAGCTCAGGCCTCACCCTACTCCACATCCCTATCCTCCAACACATCCGCAAGGTCCTCGCTCAGTTCCCAAACCAACGCTGGGCAGTCCACTTTTTCTTGGTTCTCTCTTCTCAAACCGACCAGCGCCGCCTTATCTTCTGTGAATGTAAACACGGTTAATCGGTTGAAACAAATGTGTAGTGATTTACTCACTCAAAACATTCGGCTATCTGAAGAACTGGAATCTCTTCGTTGTCAAAGATGATCCGATCTCGTCCATGCTTGATCTTCTAACATTCCCTGTAAGGATAAGCCCCAAGATCTCATACTGGCTCCTCTCTTCAACGGTTGTGTTTATTATGTGGTTGTTCGGTTTTGATCGTCTTGTCCGTGTCATATATTTTCTAGATTCTCCTACACCACATTTACGCTTCCGTCTGACTCCGATTCACTCACTGGTCTTTCGAAACTAAATCCGTGGTAAATTATTGTTGCGACTGCATCACAGAAAGAGCAGCATATCAATTACTTCTTACGTTAGCGCTGTGTTCGCTCTCATTTGGCTGTTTGTTAGCTCACTTTAATCATTTTTTGCTCATCTTATTTTTATGTTTGAATGGCCCGGTTTTAACGGACTTTTTCGTCTTATTTGAATGCAATGATAACAGACACCCATTTTTATCTCTCGCTTTTACTGTACTCATCATTTGATGATAACTCAGTATGAGTTGAAGTGCTCAAGCGCTCAGATCCTAAAGTCAACTATCTGATGCACGACGCATCTTCACTGAAAGCCTGTGTAAATATACCTGAATTTTGTGTACGTTCTTTCCAGCGTTATAATTTACTGCTTTTATCTGTTGAATCGATCCGCTTGTCAATTATCATGTTGGCTCTGTCGTTTCCTCCACTATCGCTTTGTGCGATCTACTGGGCCGAGTGCCCAATTATCCCGCGCTGTGATCAGGATATCATACACTTTCCTTTCCGAGGAGACCAACCGTTGGGTATCGATCACTTACCCGAAACCGCGCATTGATCAATATTTATCACCGCCCTCCGGATATTATTCAAATGGATGATGCTCACCTCCGCCGCATGTGGATCAGTGTTTAAACGGCACTGACACCATCTGTGACTATTTTGTCATTTCACCTCCATTATGCAGTCACTGAATGAATGGACATCTGGGAATGCCTACGCTTATCGTCTCCGATGCCTGGTTTCGCTCATATGAGAGATTTGTAATTGTAGGGCGTTTGGATGCCAAGCAGTGTTTTAGCTCAGCAACATCTACCGATTCTGTGGTCAGGTACGCGTAGATTAGCCAGGCGTTTCGTGGGGGGGGGGGGGTAACGACAACCATAAACTGACTGGGTAGATTTCATTATCCGCCACCCACTTCGGTTAATTGCCATTTCCATCGTGTTGCTCTCCTTTAGTGATCTATCGCGTACAACATGCCGATGTCTGCGCACCCTCATTTTCAAAAGGTCTCTTCGCCGACCATTGATTTCCTTGTAATAATTGACGAAACCCACGCTTCCTATATATTCAGTGTTTCAAACCGACTCATATGTCTCTAGGTTACGCCTTCCGGACACTGACGACAATGCTCAATGAATGACAAATTGTTTCCGAATCGGAAGTATTCAAGAGAATGAGACCTGGGTGTGCACAATGACGCCACCTTGATGTACGTCGGTTTGGCGACAGATTTCGTTAATTCTCATACATGTATCACGTGTTTCAACATCCAACCGATGCACATATTTGTTTTTGGAAACAATATTGTGTTATGCAGTCAAATGAATGGCTTCTATCCACTCAGTCAGCTGCCTCAGGGCACTTAGTAATAAGTTCTCCCTCCGTTCTGTTAGTCCCCACTTATCTTCTCTCCAATAACTTGCGTAGTTGTCATACTCATTTCACGCAGCAGTACACTTAAAGCACTTACTAGTGACTCGTCTTTAGGCAAACCTTAGTACTGCTGTAGCCTCAACCGCTTGGCGCCAAATCTCCGACGCACAAAACTAGCACCATTGGTCGACTGCACTTGATCAGCTTAGACGACATCTAAGAAATGGCTTCTTTCGTACTCACATCTAGTCACCATTGCCTCCCAAAATGTCAAGCTACCTTTAGTTTGCTCACACGGTACGGCACGAATCAGCGATGCCACCACGCTCTCTCGAACCGCTTATGACGAAACAGCCAACAGCCGCTCACACCCGGCATTTACCACCCTCGGTTCGCGAACAATTCCTGACTTAACCGAGCGAACAGAAATGCACAACAAACCTAATAAATGATGTTGTGTCGCCGCCCCACGACCGCAAGAAGAACACGAAGATGAACCAGGACTGAGTTGTATGCATGAGAACACTGCTTCCTTATATAGGGTACAATAGTTTATGAAGCAAAGCTACTAATGCACCTTGGAACCAACCAACATTATAAGAACAACGGATAATACGGGCGAATGAGAAGTGGCAAAAGAAAGAACCCATCACACGAGTCCGAGGAAACGGCATTAGCGGAAATGGACCCCTGAGATAGCATCAATTATGAACGACTTAGGCCAGCCAATTGAAGCAAAGGAATGTTGCGTTTAAACAAATGTCAAGAAACAAACGATGGCGAAACGAAAGCAGGCGACTAAGAATTGTAGCAACAAATATATGTCCATTGAGCATCCCCCTAACAAAGGACAACAGCATTGCCCGAATCTGTGGTAACTTGCGAACCTGCCAACCAACGCTGAACAGGTAAGCAGCGATTGTCAGTTGTTTCGAGTTGTGTTTTGTATCCCCCAAAACGCAATGCTTTGTTTCGCGATTGGAAGGGATCAGTCTCTGCGCTATCCATTGGTGGAGATCGGCCAGAACCTGTTCAGAAATTCAACTACCTGAGCAGCTGTATCACTGCCTGCGGAATAGCAGATGAGTTCATGAACCATACAGCAAAATCTCGAGGTACTTTGATAATCTTCGCCACTTATGGCACCGGCCCGATACCATCCTCGCCATGAAGGGTAACAACTATAACGCTGCCATCCGTTCAACCATACTGTACGGTTGTGAAACCTGGCCCATCCAATCGGCAGGCGCTAACAGATTAGTTGCGTTGGACTACCATTGCTTTAGCTTAGTTTACATCTGATTGGAACACGGCGTGAGGAATGAGCATGTTCGGTGTCTTGTTTGTGACTCAATAAATAAGAGTGAACCGTTCAACATCATTACTTCACGTAACAGATCCCGAAGGCTGGGTCATGTGTTACGATACCAACACATGGACTCCTGCAACATGCATTATTTGCGCGTACAGAGTCTGAATGTAGGAAGAGGGGAAGCCAGCCGATGACTTGATCAAGAGGAACGAGGTTTCCCCATTCGTATTTGGCCTCGGTTGATGCCTCCCGGTGTCCAGGTTGGTTGGATACTCTTGTTGACATGATGAAGAGCCGCCCTGAGTGTCGTCTGTGTTTTGAGCTTCTTTGTCCCCCTCCATCCCTCTTAGCCTTCTTCTCCACATGTTAACGCATTATTGATGTATTATCAAAACCATTCTTAGCATTCCTTGTTTTCGTTTTTGGCCACCTAATTGGACCCTAATGCTTCACGATAGCTGAGGTGTTTATCACCTCTTGCTAGCGCGCAAATTGAAGAGAATTTTTATGCACGGTAAGTTCCGGATCAATCAAACTTTGTTCTACTTGTTTCGTCAATCAAGCCGACAACGTTTTTCGTTGTGATAGCCCCAAGGCACTCAAACGAAATCATTCATGGGAATGACATCCTAGTTAACTACGCAACTGGTCTTCGAAAAGCATACATCTATGCTTGTTGTTGAGTGTAGTTATGGACATGTAAATTGTTGCCTTATTTCAACTCTCAGTACGTGCATTGTATGTGCAGACGGCCGCCAGTGACAGTGCGTTTGACAATGATTTGCATAGGGAAACTTTATCACGTGATTGGCTACGGTTCTCTTAGTGTCCGCGCCGCATTTTAACCCATTATGTGTGGGCGGGAAGAGTGATGACAGTGGCCGCAGCATTGTGATCTCACGTGTGTGCCGGTGCACACCAACGGAACGTAGCTTTCTTCCTTACCGGCCAAGTTCATATGCTACTGCTTCGCACTAGGCTTCCTGCTTGATTCGCCTTAATCGATCTTTGACTAGTCGTTCTACAAATGGGATTTGAATGATATAATTAGAAATTTACAACGTCCCGACTACTTACCCGTTACGAGTAGTCTACCGCCGCATTACACGATCATTGTCACTAGCCAACTTCTGCGCGGTTTACTATCTTCGGCTTAAGCTTGCGATCCTGGGTGATATATTTTCGTTATGCGCCCATAGTTCATGATCTGAGGACATGTGGGCCCTTCTACTAAAAGTTCCGATTTTTATCCAGTAGTGGAATACGACTCGCTGTATCGAATTTGACACTGGACTCCATTCTTATCGGAACCTTTTTAAACTGAAGCGTCAGAAACTGCCAGTGGTCGTCTTACCTTCCAGATATCTAAAGCGCTCTTAACGATTATATGCCTGTCAATTGGACCCATGGCATTTCTTGCCGGATTCGAAAGCACCTTACAATTCGGCGGCTTTGGCGAAGACACAAAAACGCAATTAAGGCGTGTCATCGCTCCAATCTTAGCATGCAACAAACAGCGTAATGCATTGTCACAATAGTAGGACGCAATAAAATCCCTTAAGCCGACTTTTCTAACTCACTCGCCACATCAGTGCTCCCCGTATTACCCTATGCGTAGCAGTAGTTTAGGGTTGTCTTTTATCAAATTACATCTGTTCCGATTTCGAGCTCATTTATACGTACCTACTGTGCATTTTGTTGTGTAGTTTTCCAATTATCCCTGCATCGGTTCGCCCTTTAGTTGTCATTTTTTCCACACTATTTGTAATGACGAAGCAAGCCCCCGTGGTACTTGTTGCAGAATTTTCGGACAGAGCAAGCGTTGTTACTTGATTTTCGTCTTGTGTAGACCTTCATATTTCGTGTTTTGGTCTATCCGTTGACCAATCTAAACTTCAGCATGAATTTACTTAGATATTTTCTAAGAACTGCCAGAGTAAAATGCAGCCTGAAAAAGGCAATAAACCTTGCGAGCCAGCAAGGAATACAAAACATTCCATAGTGATGAGCTCGGTGTGGTCACCCCAACAGACGGACACGCAGTCACTCACATGTTGGGAAAAGCCCACTTGCCTGTCGGCTACAAACTCTTCTGAACTATGTCCATCCGTTACTGGAGACTCACTTTGGTTGTCTGTGTTGCGTCCCATGGGCACTAACGTCCCTGTGTGCGATAGCGTAAGCGATGAAGGACATTGGAAAATACAAGTAAAGCGAAAACAACTGCCATCGACCGAAGGCATTCCAGCTACATGATACTTCGGGCGTCTGAGTCACGCCACGTGGCCACGATGTCGAGATTTCGCGGAGTCTGATAGACTCCTCCATGTGGATTGTGTATGAAACAAATCATCCGTCTTGCAAAGATAAGGAGAAGATTCGGCCTATGCGAGTTACTTTTGCTTCTGAAGCTAGTCCGGGGTTAATATTATCCCGTATCGGTAGGTCACGAGGTTTGTAGATCCATACTCGGTCAGATATGGATTCGTCAAACCGAGAGTAACTCAAGTTTGCAAGCGTTAATTTAAAGCGTGGCAGTGATGGATGGGAAACCACTCACCGCATTGGAAATTTTTGGTTTGTTCCCCAGGTTGTTCAATTCCGGATCAACAGGTAAATGGCGATTCATACGCTCGGTACTTCCCGTGCGTGGTTTTCACCAGTGTTTGTAGTTTAGTGGACAGACGTGATGATCCGTCACTTCTTTGCACCCCGGAAACCCGACGTTTTACCTCTGGCTGAATCCTGAGCTAAACGTCTATAAAGTTCGGGTCAGTAGCTACTCGGGCTTTCAATGCAACAGAATATCAAACAACCATGGGGGTGTGTGGGTTTTTTTATGCAAGTGGTTATCAAACAACTACCGACGCGAAGATGGTCTGTGCAAGCAATTATGCTGCGTGAGCCGCCTGAGGGGTGCTAAACTCTTAGTGTTTGTAGCTTGTCGTACCCTACGAGGTCACTGTTTGTACTGGTTGCCGTATGTCCGAAGCCAC